GTGCAAAACGAATGGAGAGTGTCACATATGAAGGAAACTGAAACTGCCCACTCTTGCCTAGTGCCATATCTTTACGGGTCTGGGACATATTCAAATGTGTAGGAGGGAGTCAATGCCATGGGCACTTTGAGACAGCAACGAAGCATCCAAGCAGTAGACAAGTGGTGGGTGTTTGCTTGCCTCTAAAAGTAATCAAAGGAAAATCAATTCTGTTTCTCAATTGCAGTTTCCCTTTACATTTTCGGGTTTGTTTAAACGCCACAATTTCCAACATAGCATTAAATAATAAGCATTTAGCTTTGCCAATCGCTAGACTGTAAATACAAGCTCAATTCGTCGCTGTAACTGATGTGGCACAACTACTGTTGCATTATCAGGAAGATGAACTTGATTTCACTGGGGTTTTTATGAAGCACTACGGGACTTCCATGAAGACGAAAGTTGATACAATGCACTAACAGAATACATATATTTAACACTAAGAAGGTACATGGGCTACTGCCGTGGCTCCAAAGCCAGCCTACAGGGCGTGGCAGAATGGCCAATTCAAAAGCTAAATGTGCTTCCTCACAAAATCGGATATCAACCGTAACATTACATGTATGTAGATGGGTGGAGAGATTTGCTTTAACTGTAGATTTCCCCTTTTTTCTCTGCCAAAAGTTTGGATTTGTTAGTTTAAAATAAAATAGAATGCAAGATGCAATGTCAAAGTTTGAAAAGTTTTTCCTTACTAAACCATAAATTCAGAGTACTTAAGCATGTACATTCAGTCATTGTGCACAATGTAGCGCATAATACGGCAGATATTTTGCTGAGTGCTATAATATTAAATACGGCTCATGGAATGATCTTATTTTACTAAATTATACGAGTATTTGTTTAACTACATCGTAGAGTTCCCCTCTTACCACCGCGCATCGCGTGAAGTTGTGTTCCAATAAATTCGTTGCGAATTTTTGCCGTTAAAAAAATTTTTTTTTCACCAAACTTGCCACTAAGAAAAATTACTCTTTTTACACTACTCTCAATTCACTTTGAAAATCTGCATATAAAAAATACTGGGCATGAGACATTTGACTATCGTATGAAACACTTGACGGATTTGTCTGTGCTGATCGTGGAGATTAGCCTAATGTGATCAGTTTTCAAGGCTCTGCAGCTTGTTCATCTGACTCGCCTCCATCGAAAATCAAATCTTTTGGAAACTTGGTCAAGTTTTAAAAGTTCCACTCTTGCCAGTAGACTTCAGTACCTAAGCTAGTCGGAGATGAGAAGCGCTTGCCTTCTGGAGGACTTTGGAATTTGGTGTGTCTGAAATGTCCGAGATGTTCGGAGGACAGCCACTAAAAGCCCGTTTCGCCAGATGATAGAGATTCTTGAGGTATTCCTCATCGTTCTCGTCAGCTTTTTGTAAGTACAACATTGATCGATGTTGGTAACATGGGTGATGCCGAGGGAGGCCTAAACCAAAACAAATCATGGGGGAGAGTGGCGAGGATGATGGGCGTTGCCTGGAACTGAAGTTAGAGATGGAGGTTAAATTTAGCAATTTCTAGCCAGTTTTTGGATTTTATGCCATTTCTAAGGTCCGTTGGCACTGCTACCGGTGTAGGACGAGGCTCGAAGATCTCCTTCTACAT